TCTATAATATGTTCCACTTTTTTCAGAGATAAGCAAGTTCAGACCTCCTTTGTATTTGTTAATCCTTTGTTATAAATTAGAAAAAGACATTTCTGCTGAACAACATATCCGTGCGAGCTTCTTAGCTAAAGTTGTTATGAGTTCACCCCATATCAACACAGGACCACCATTTATACGTACCACTTTCATGGAAATAGATACTGATGGAAGTTGGCTTTTTTATTTCTTCTTTACATAAAGGGTATACTGAAAAATTATAGCATTTAAAGTGTTTAAAGATTCCTGGAAGAAAACAGAAGCAATAGAACATTACCCATCTTTCAAGATTGCTAGCAAGAATCCTATTAATTGCTACTTTCACACTACACTGTCAAGAAAGGCAGAAAAGTAAAACATGATAGTGAGAGCTTCAAATTCTTGGTAACGATTTTACCCTTAATAAATATTTACACATTCAGGGGACACCCAGGGGGGGAAATCAAAATGTGTAATTAAAGCCATAGCTTTTTTTTTTTTACACATGCTATAAAATGCACCACAGCATATAAAAAGTGGAGAAGCTTCAATTATGCAGTTGGAACAACCATCTTAGGATATTTTTGACCTCACCTGCTCGCCCCCCAATGCATTTTGCCTCTGTATTACATCTGCCACACAGATAAGTTAACGTACCAATCTAGCATAAAAATGCTTTACAAATACTCATTTCCCTGTTGGACATGGGAACTAGAATAAGCAGCATGAATCAAACTGAACATGCAGTTTCCAAAAAAAAATCTAAACTAGATTGCTATGTTTAGGGCTAACTTTATATTCTTACTAATTTTATTCATATGAGTATGCATATATATCATGCATATTTTCCAAAACCTGCTGTTCCCACAGCACCAAGCAGCATATAAGGAGAAATCTTGTCAATGATAGATGGAAGGCTAAAATCCTTAAGTACAAAAGTAGCTGCAGTTAAGCCAAAAGCACTTAAAATTGAGAGAAACCCAAGGTCAAAAGCTTCTATTATTAGTTTCTGAAGAATCAACAACAGCATGGGAAAATGTTTATCTTTTCCCTGGAACTAGGTAAGACCAATGTCTGCTGTGGAAAGTGAATCCCAAGCCAAAGAGACTATCAACGGACTCAAGAGAGTTCTGCATCTTGGCAGTGGAACATAATTACACGAAGCATCACGTTCAAAACAGCCATTTCTTTATGCAAAAAGTGTTGTGTGCCTACTGAATTGCATAATGCAATTTAAGCAACAATGGAGGACAATCTGCTCAATTTTCAGCATACGTCAGAATAACAGAGTTGGAAAGGACCTTGGAGGTCTTCTAATCCAAGCCCCTACTCAAGCACTCCAAACAAATGGCTGTCCAATCTCTTCCTAAAAGCCTCCGGTGATGAAGCACCCACAATCCCTGAAAGCAAGCCGTTCCACTGGTTAATTGTTCTCACTCTTAGGAAATTTCTCCTTAGTTCTAGATTGCTACTCTCCTTGATTAGTTTCCATCATTGTTTCTTGTCTTGCATTCTGGTGCTTTGGAAAATAGGTTGACCCCCTTTTCTTTGTAGGAGCCTCTCAAATATTGGAACACTGCTATCATGTCACCCCTAGTCCTTCTTTTCATTAGACTTGACGTACCCAAGTCCTGCAACTATTCTTCACATGTTTTAGCCTCCAGCCCTCTAATTAGCTTTGTTGCTGTTTGTTGTTCTTTTCTGAACATTTACTGTAACGGAATGTGAAAATGACCTTGGGAGATGGAGCAATGAGATGCTGTCTAGAGAATTGTCAAATAAGTGGGAGCATAGCCCACTGCTGCATAATGGACATAGCAAGAAGCTCAGGAGCGATTCTCCCTAAGTTCTCAGGCTGTAAAGGTGACAGTGTACTTTCAGGTTTGCAAAATTTGTTAATGTAGGTTTACAATAAGGCAGAATTAGCTTATCTGTCCACTGGTCAAGAGAAAGGTGTGGTTGCAATTGACAAGTTTATTAAGAAATTTAAGGAACAAAAGGCAAGGTATAAGACAGAGGAAGGACATGGCAAAAGTAAGAAGGGTTTGCAAATATAGAGATGCATAGTGGATGATCTTAGTAGAAATTAGACTTAACTGTATTTATTTTCATTTTTCTTATCTCATGCCTACTTCTTAATTTCTTACTCCTTTTCTGTACTTGGCCTGAAGTTGCTTGCTCTTAAAAAAAGAAGTAGCACAGTGGATATATGTGTGCATTGCTAATTCCCAAATAAATCTCTCAATGTTTTACAATCTTTAATAACAGAAAAACGAGAAGGTAAGAGGACATAATTGAAAAAACATACTGTAAATAAAATAAAAAGACAATATTTAGAAGCGCTACTACCCATAGTATGTGCAATTAGCCTTAAAAATCATACCTTTGTGGGAAATCCATTCTGTGGTATTTGTTATCCTATCCCAAGATCGCTTGTTTGGGTCTTTCTCTAACTCATCATGCCATTCTATAATATAACCGTTTATTTCTGAATTCGTTGAATCCCATGTCAAAAGCACTTTCTCTTCTAAAGCAGAAGCCTTCAGATGAGTAATTCTTTTTTGGTCTACAAGAATAAATGCCCATGTTAACTAGGTAGGGTAAATGCCAGCAATTTAAGCAATAATTGTAACTGCCAGTGCATGGCAGTGGTGATTTATACAGCAAACAGAAACAAAAAATATATAGCATGGTCAGGGGTGGGATTCAACCAGTGTTACTACCGGTTCAGTGATTATGTTTTGCTGCGCGCATGTGTAATATACTTTAAGCTGTACTGCCTGGACAGCTGATAAGCACTGCGCACAGGTGCGCAGCATTTGAAAAAGCACTTTTTTACTGCTTTTTCAACCTCAGTTGTGTTGCGCAAAGCAGCTGAGGTTGAAAAAGCAGGAAATAAAGGTCAGGTAAGAGCCCAGAAGGGCGGGTGGGACAAACAGCAGCAGACACAGAACCGGTTCTATGTCTGCTGCTCTTCAGAGCTACCGGTTCTATAGAGCCGGGCAGAACCGATAGCATCCCACCCTGAGCATGTTAGTATATATTTTAAAATGCTGAGAAAGGATTTAACTGTTTCGTTACAGAAAATGTGTCAACTTAAATTGGAATACAGACTTAGGACCACAATTGACCCCAAAATTTCTGTTGCTAAGTTTAACATTTGCTAGGTGAATTTTGCCCCATTTTACAACCTTTCTTGCCACAGTTGTTAAGTGAATCACTGCAGTTGTTTAGTTAGTAACATAGTTGTCAAGTGAATCTGGCTTCCCCATTGATGTTGCTTGTCAAAAGGTCACAAAAAGTGACCCCCTCCCCAGGACAGTGCAACCGTCATAAATACGAGTCACTTTCCAAGTGTCCGAATTTTGATCACATGACCATGGGGATGTTGCAACGGTTGTAAGTGTGAAAAATGGTCATGAGTCACTTTTTTCAATGCTGTTGTAACTTTGATTGGTCATTAAATGAATTGTTGTAAGTCAATGACTACCTGTACCTATTATCACTACAGGATGTAAAAATAAACAAAGTGAAATGTTCCAATTAAAGAGTGTTCCAATTGTGTTCCAATTATGGAACAACAGTGAGGTGATTATGGTTCCCCTCGCACATAAATGCTAGTCGCTTCCGGCTCTAGGAAACAACTAGCATGTGTCGATCGAAAGGTCAGCAGTTCAGCGGTTCGAATCCCTAGTGCCACGTAACGGGATGAGCTCCCGTTACTTGTCCAAGCTCGAAAGCACGTAAAAAATGAAAGTAGAAAAATAGGGACCACCTTTGGTGGGAAAATAACAGTGTTCAGTGCGCCTTTGGCATTTAGTCATGGCAGCCACATGACCACAGAGACATCTTCGGACAGCGCTGGCTCTTCGGCCTTGAAGCAGAGATGAGCACTGCCTCCTAAAGTCGGGAACAACTAGCGAAGTGAACCTTTACCTTCATCTCACTGAGACCTTTCTCTAAAAGCTCAAGACTGCACTAGACTGTATATAATGGGAAGGAGACATTTTTACACGCATACAAAATGTATGCCAAATCCTGGTGGTGAAAACAACTCCAAAGTTAAGAATGGGAAATGCAAAAAAAAACAAAAAACAATTCAGCTGATCTTCCAGATGAGGACATTAAGCTATTGCATATCTCTTTGGCACAGGTTTTTTAAGACATACATTTCTTTTAGCCATTTTATTGTTGTAGTACCTAAGGCAAATTGTTTGGTCATTCAATTGCTCCCGAGTAAGCAGGAAAAGGGAAAGTTTGCGAGTGACTTTTTTCCCTAGAGGTTTTATGGATCCTTAACACTAAGGCACACAAAACAATTACAGATATTCCTTGAATATTGTTCAGAGAATTAGATTTGTTCCAACTTCCTCCCAAATGAAACATATCTTTTGCAAATTTTTGCAAGGAGAGCCAAGTTCTTTCTAACCACATAGGAAGAAACAACTAAAAAGATAGCAAGAAGGACACCAATTATCTTGCCATCCTGAGGAAGAGGCATAAGACAATTATCAGAAGAACTTCAGCTCCTGATAAGAAACCAACATGTATGGTATAGTTACAGTGATAGACAAAATAGCTAGTGTGCCTCACTGAACGAGAATGCACTCTCTGTTATACTAATGGTGAAGCATCAACTGAAGGGTATACCTGATTTTCAAAACTAAATGGGGGTACTGATAAAGGAGAATATTTGTAGCTCAAAATTGAAATTAGGGGTCCTTAATGGTCTCTGACATTGGCTATTTTCAGATAATAATGTTATTTAGTTTGGGTAATGAAACCAACCAAGCTCAGAGATCACCAAGATGGAGTATCTTTACTCTTCATTTAGCCAAAAGATATACTAGAGTTTATACAACAATGAAGATAGCCTCGTGCGACCAGCAGACTTTTTGTTCTACACAGGGAATGTAACAATGAACAAGTGCCAGCCTACGGACCGGTGGGGAGGGGGCAGGGGTGGGATTCTACCAGTTCGCACCTATTCGCTAGAACCGGTTGTTAACATTCTAAGCAGTTCAGAGAACTGGTTGTTAGAAGAAATTACTGGCCTAATCCTGTAAGGAAGGCAGGAAGGAAACATTCTGGTGTTGCTTACAGAAACTGCCTCTCCGTTAACCCTTATTACATTCTTGGCAGGAGTAGACTTCCTGTCTCAGGAACTTTTCTGGAATTTTTTATCTCCTTTGCTGATACTTTGCTTGTGTGGAGTGACCATTTAAAGTTACAATGGCACTGAAAAAAGTGACTTATGACCCTTTTTCACACTTACGACTGTTGCAGCATCCCCGCAGTCATGAGAGGCCAGGCAAGGAGATGCATGCCTCAATGTGAGTGATATTGAGTTGGCCACGCCCAGCCAATAACATGACCACCTAAGCCACATCCACCCAGTCACATGACCACCAAACAACGCCCACCACCTAAGCCACGCCCACAGAACCGGTTGTTAAAAAATTTGAATCCCATCCCTGGGAGCGGGGATGCAGATGGGTCATAGAAATATTCTTAGTTGCTAAAAAGGGTAAAGTATCCTTCCTTGTCATCTGGTTAAAAAAAGGAAAATATTTCTAAAACAAATCCAGACTTCCATGAGATGAAGTCAACATCTGAATAGATATCAACCCAGCAGCGACGAGATCAAATAAGTGAATTAACAGTTTCAACAATAACCATCCACTGTCACATAAAAAGAGTTACATCAGAAACTGTGTGGCAGGGTGAAAATGTATTGCAGTACCCAGCAAACAAAAGCACTGGGGAGCAAGTACCTATATGAATAATTCAGGCAGAATGGTTACCACAACATGGACGGGAGAGAAAGGAAGAAAGAAGATAGAAGACCAACTTTAAGGCAGACCCTGCCATACATCAAAAACATTTTGGAAACAGGAGAATGCACTTCCATGTTCTGCAAGTGGGGATCGCCTACTGCCCAGAGGCTACCATACAAGGACAAATGACGCATTACAAAGATCATTTGAAGGTGGGAGAAACTTTTAATGTAATTTGCCTGATTCCCTGCATGGATTGCCCTGTGACTACGTAGGACAGACAGGAAAGAAGCTAACCACCAGATTGCAAAAACAAAATGAGCGGTTAGATGAAGAGATCCGAATTCATTGGTAGCCTCACATTGCAATGAACTAGGAGATGCTTTCAATTTTGCAGCTACTAAGATTGTTGACCAAGCATGGGCAAAAATAGCCAACAGAAATGACTGACTGAACCCTGGGATATTGGCTCCTGTCAGTTAACAGGAGGGCTTATTTACCACTAGTTTACCAGCTGCTTAGGAGCCGAGGGCATGGCAACACAAGGAAAAAATAATCAACGACTTAATAGCCAGCCATCAATGTCCCAATTAACAACTAAAAGGCACACACAACCAGGCACCACATAAATACTATGCATAGAATATACCCCAGTGCACACATTCAGGAGACAAAGAAGTTCCCTAAGGATGGGCTTCTTGCATGAGCTTGGAAGAATAAACCTCTGGATCTGGTGACCGATTCCGATTGGATCCTGCAACATTATCCTTGGACACATATATTTGCCTTCATTCATAAATCAATTAAGTATCCTATAGCACTTCAGGTAGGAACAAAAATTTGGAGGTAGGATTTCAAGATTTGGGGTGTGAATAATGACCTACAACTAAGTATGAATAAGGGGTATGAATAATTAGTTACAACAATACTGATATACTGACAAAAAGAATAGTTTTGGTTCCAAAGAAAATAGGACAAGATAGGCAAAAAAAAAGAAAAAACAAATTCTCATCCAGAAGGAGGATTTACACTGACAAAATATTTACAGATTTTAGAGTGTCCTTTCTCAAGAAAACTACAGTAATCCTTGCCACAGAGATTGTTTACACAATGACTTCATACTGAAAGTGCAGATCAAATTAAAATTGTTATACTGTATTTCATGACTTGGAAACAATACTTCTGCTCTGACCCTCCCGACTTACTTATGTACCTTACTTTTTTCTAGTGCAGTGTTACTCATGTCCACTGAAACATTTAGGTGCACTTCAAAGCAACTTTTCACATACTAAATGTTATCCTATATCTAATTATGTGACCAAAGAAATCAAATCCTGTACTGTATTTTTTTAACTACTTAGTTCTTTTTACAAAGACTCTGCATAAGTCTCTTACATCTATAATTTCCCTGAGATAACTATGGGAGTGGCATAAAAGGCCTGGTAAATAAATAAATACATATATTTTAGTATTTTATGTTTGACTTTTTGATTCCCGGAGACTGCCTGAACAGTTTTCTTGGCAAGCTTTTTCAGAAGTGGATTGTCATTCTCAGATAAGAATCTATATAGTTAGCAAGCATTTCCTTTTCCTCTCCCTCTCCTTCTCTCTCTCCGTCCCTCCCTCTCTCCCGCTTCCCTCGATCCCTCTCCCAGATGCACTGCAACAGAGCACAAGTGGCACATAAGTAGTAATATGGTATACAGCATTAAAAAGCCCTTTCTTAGTCTGTGTATAAGTGTATGTGTGTGTTGTGTACATTTGCATAAACATACCTATTGTTTCTTCATGTTTTGATGGAATTCTAATAGTAACTTCAGGAGAATATCCAGCACTGTTACGAGCAGTAAAACGGATATTGTAGGCATCCTTTGTCAGGCTGAGAATGACAGGCTCATTATGATTGTATTTTTTTTCAAAAGTAGTGTTGACGTGTTCTGCACTGTATTTGACTTTACAGCCAGTTATTATTCCTGAAGATGGGAATTCTTTATATTCCTGGTCAGTACATAGTAGTAATTAAGAAGAATAAATGATTAAACATGTATAGGACTGGACTCCTCAAAATGTGATGCATGAATAATACACACAATAGTAAAAGAGGCACTTGAAAAGTATTCACCTGTGCAGAGTTATAGTTATTCATAGTACCAGGTAATTTTGTACCGTACAAATATGCAAATGTGTAAAACATATTTAAACATTAAAAAAAAGAACCGTTAAATGTTAAATAGAATAAATTAAAAGGCAAACATATTTTTCCCTCCAGTGCCTTTAGCAAATCAATTTCGATCCCATTAAAGCTTTGTTAATTAAAGAGAACAATTTGTTTCCAATTGGAAACTGTTTCTGGGTTTTATGCTCAAAACAGAAAAAAAAATTAAACTTTGATTTTAGGTTTTGATTAATTTGCTGTTATAGAAGTGGTATCTACTAGAAATGTAAAAAAAAAAGTTGAAGTTGAAAGATTTGTTATAGTCTACTGCACTGAAAAAAAATCAGGTCAGTGCTTTTTTCCCTTCTTTATCCTTATATATTTCTCCTTTCCTTTTATTTTCTGATTTTTGTTTCCTTGTATTTTATAATAAACCTTACTAAAAATATTCCAAAAAAAGCTTCCTTTGGAAAAATTATGCAAAGGACCAGAATCTTAGAAATCAACTTTTTCATCAACTTGAACAGGTTTTTCAGTGATAAAATATTTTACTACTTTATTTTTGACTTTTTGATTCCCAGAGACTGCCAGAACAGTTTTCTTGGCAAGCTTTTTCATTTGTATCTACATCACTTCATACAACCACATCTTCACCAGCTTTCAGGACTAGTAGCCATCCTGTATATTCTCATCAGCAATTGCAAAAAAAAACCCTATATAATCTCTAAAACATTAATCAGTGTAGGATCTTTTTAAACTATTTTTATTTAGACAAAAGTTTATCTTAATCTTTTTAGCCTAAAGCATGATGCTGTGAATATCACCATTTCATTTTAAGAAACCTCAATAAACAGGATTTCTCAGCTTTTGATAAACTTTGAACACCAGCTGTATGTCTTTTATCTTTCTTTTTCTCATTAAGAAAGCTGTACACTTTTGTGAGAAATGAATGCCCTCTTAGATAATCCTTCTCAATTCTTCCCTTCTTTATTCTTAAAATAAACCAGTAAGTCGTTGAAAGGAATTTAGAATAAGAAACTTAAATTCATTCCTTTTCCAAAGTCAATGGATATGAATTATGCTTTCATTGGGAAAGTTAATCCAAGCAAGGAGACAAACTGGACTTTGACTTTAAAGCTTCTGCATATATAATTTTAAGAGTCTACTGAGAAATAAACCATATATTCATTAAAAATAGGAATCTTTAAATGTCTTGATATTTGTTTACCTTCCACAAAAGATGCACACTCCTGTTTCCATTAGGATAAGTTTCAATTACTCTCCATAAGTCTATTTTCAAAGGAGCTGTTAAAAACAAATGAAACAGAATGGTAAAATAGGTAAATAAGTGATTCTTTCAGATCCCTTGGATAGGTATAGCTTCCTTTTTTGTTTGTTCAGTAATGTTTAGTCTTCTCTAATAGCAAACAGATATTGCACTTAACAAGAACACAATGACACTCCGTTTTTGGTTATCCTTCCCAAGAAGGCAATTTCAGCTGTATTCTAGTAACTGAATATGTCAGACCATCATGACTGAATAACTGGAAATACTTAATCCAAATAAAAGAAATCTTTAAAGATCAATGTTAGCCCTTCAAGGTGATGACAAGATGACACCAGAAGAAATACTAGAACTCTTGAAAACTAATGGTGTTTCTCCATTACTTCCTTTCATACCAGAAAGAATCAAGGCAAAGCTACTTTAAGCTCTATTTCTTGTGCTTTTTTGTTTTCCCTTCCTGAGCCATATTCTTTTAATGGCCTTTGCATATTTTCTCCAAGGTCACTTCTGTGCACTCTGCTATTTAAGAAAGAACTGCATCTCACCTGCCAAACAAATTGCTCTAAAGGAAGTCAGTTGGGAAGAAGTGTTCTTGGGAGAATCAGATGACCATAGACTCCAGTACATTACCCCACAATTCCATTTTTGGCTAACTAAGTTGAGTTTGCTGTATATAAACAATATATATGTGCCAATATTTATGCAGGTTTTTAAATAGTTTATAGTTTATCTATTTATTGAAAACATTTATATAGCTATCACTCTTCTAATCAATTCTGGGTATGCCCAAGGAAAAGTGAAAACAATATATCTAACCATATTGAAACTATGAAACTAATGTTAAAATATTAAAAGCAACCAAGACCCTGGCTTCAAGTCAAACATTTAATGTGTAATTATCCAACTTTATCCCAGCATTTGAGGAAAAAGCCAGGTCTTCACAGCTTTACAGAAGGCTAGGAGCCTGCCAAACACCCAGAGAAAGAATATTCCAAAGGGCAAGGGCAGCCATGGAAAAGGTGTACTTCCCAGCTCCCAATAAAAAAATAAATATTTAGAGGAAGGGACAATAAATATTTAGAGGAAGGGACTAGCACAGGGGTGTCAAACTGGATTTCTTGGAGGGCCGGATCAGCATTGTAGTTCTCTTAGGCAGGCCAGCCTGGGTGGGGGGAGACGGGACAGATGCCTCCCGCAGCACCCAGCCACCCAAATGGGGCATGGGGGGGGTGCGTGAGGCCTTCTGCATTCCATTTTCAGCCTGGATGTCCTCCTGCAGCACCCTGCTGCCAAAACAGGGCACGGGGGGGGGGGGGGCACGTGAGACAGAGGCACCATTGGCCGGTTCTTTGCTATTTCCAGGGTGGCCCCATGGGCCAGATTTAAGCACCGCGTGGTTCGGATCCGCATTTGAGTTTGACACCCCGGACTAGGGGCATGCCCACACTATCTGACTTCATAGCACAGGTAGACCTGCTTGTACAACATATAGACTTGTAAAGGTGATGACCAACACCTTGACTTCCACTTGGAAAGGAACTGGAAGCCAATGCAGTTCACACAACTTTATATATGGGCAATCTTAGGGGACTGCATTACTGTGCGTGCTACTCCACTCTAGAATAGTCAAAGTTTCTGGGTGATCTTTGTGGGGAGCCCTATGCAGAGTGCATTACAGTAATCCAAACAGGAGGTTACCAAGGCATGACTGATAGTTCTTTAACCTTTAATAACTATGACTAGAGATGTTTAAATCTGCAAATAAAATCGTTATGCCAAACTTAGTTTTGTTTTTCTTACCTTGTTCTTCCGTTCTGTTTGTTACTCTGTTGCTCCATTCACTCCATTTACCAAACCCATCACCTTTACACCGAACAGCGACTGTATAATTTGTGAAATTCCACAGGCCAGTGAGATTTAAAGATTGATTTCTTTCAAGTATTTTAATGTGGATATTGATGCATTTCTAAAAATAAATATTGTTTCAATTATTATGGTAATAGCTTACAACGAACAACTATTGTACAATTTGTAAAATTCCATAGGTCAGTGAGAGTTAAAGTTTGATTTCTTTCATCTTCTTTCAACTGGACATGGATATATCCTAAAAATAAACAAAACTGTTGTTTTGATAAGCACGGTAAAAAGAATAAATACAAAATTGTAAATAAGGGTTGTCATACATCCTGATTTCCCTAGACAAGAGCTTTTTTTTATCAGCTGATGAAAGCTCAGTCCAGCTAGTAATGGAAAATATTATCTTTATTTATAGAAGAAAAGCTTTTACTTCACTAACTGAGCGTGAGCTGTGGTGGAGGAGGCTTTTTTTTTCTTGTCCTGAATGATAAGAATTGAAGTTCTTCCTTGCCATTTGTCACATTGTATAAATATTACTGACAGATTTGCCTATGGACAGATTTCTGCTGAAGGCATAAACACTTTTGAGCTGCACAATCATCAACATCGAGGCTTTGGTGGCTTCTGATGACTATTCAAATTAATTATTCCACGTTAATTTATTTTCAAACTCTACTCCAAATTTATTTATTCCCCAAATTATTTTTCCTCTTTCCAATTACTCCAATTACTTTCCTTTATTCTATAACATTTAGCACAAATATTTCATTCTTATTTTCTGCTTTTATCCACCTTTTAATCATCCTGTCCATATCAATAATTTAATTCTAAAATTACTTGTATTCATTTTCTATGATTCCTGCATTTTACTAGACTAACCTTCTTCCAACAATCATTCCCCCAATCATCAATGAAAAAGAGGAATGGCATATTTTTAATAAAAGAGCAAAGTTTCATTGTTTAGATGTCTAAAGAGAAAACAAGATCAGCTCTCTATAATTTTATCTTCACCATTGTGGAAGAGTTGGTTGTAAAGGTAAAAACCATGGAAAGAAATGACTACAATATTTGAGGATTCAGCAGGCAACAGAGAAATTGGAGCCCAGTCAAACATCTATAATAGATTTCACTAGAGTTGATATGGCATACAGTTTGTAAATAAATAAAATCAAGCAAGCAATAACTTTCAGGAGAGCCTATTTCAATAATAAAAGATAAGAGAATCAGCAAGATAGATGGACTCAATTATAGCAACAATGGGTGCACTATTGGAGGAGCAGAAAGAGCAGGCTGGGGTCAGATCATCCAAGAAAAAAAAATCTATGTATGTGGTTGTTAACAATGAATACCAGCTTAATGGCACAATATCAAAGCACTAGGCAGGATCCCATAGACAAAATCTTCAGGTCATAAAACACAGGAGGATTGAAAATTGTATATTGGATGTACAATAGTATATCAATGAGGGAGGAAATGACTGTAAGTTAGGAAATACCAATAAAACAACATTTATAGCTCAGGTTTGAAATGAAGGGTGCTGTTCTGACCCAGCCTTCGCAAAAGTAAAAAACAGACTCCCCACAAAGAAAACCCTCTCTTTATTTACACATTGAGTTTGACCCCCCTGGTTTAGAAAATACATTGATCAAATCTGCAGAGATACCATGGTAAGGTGAATAACAACAAGCTCAGAACATGAATGGAGGTCAGAACTAGTATCAAGATTTTGGATCATCTTTACTAGCCAGAATATGGGGGGAAAGACAGCAAGATAAATTTCAGCTGGGATGAGCCTTACATTTGGATTGGAAAATTAAAGGCTTTAATGTAGGAATGGAAAGGAATGTATTGGGAAGTAATATTCAGAAAGAAGATCTGGGTTCTTGGAAGATTACAAGCTGAACATGAGACAATGTCACAATTCATTTGTTAAAAAAAAAACATAAATGCAATCTTAGGCTACATAAACATGTGAAATTCCTATTTGTCTCTCTATTCTGGACTGATCAGACCATACTCAGAATACTGGGTCTGGTTTTAGGCACCAGGTTTTAAGTTAGACACTAACAAAGTGTAACATGCCAGGGGAGAGGAACCATGATGAGAATCGGTTGGAGGCAATGGGTATAGTTCCTTAGGGAAGAGGAAACTACAAGCAGACAAGAAAGCTATTTTCAAGTGTCTCAAGCAATATCATGTAGGTGACATAGCAGAATTATTCCAAGAAACAGGATAATTAAAAAAAACCAGATTTAAATGTATAAAGATACGTCAGCTAAATGTGGGAAGTATAAAGAATAGAATAGAATAGAATAACAGAGTTGGAAAGGACCTTGGAGTCCCACCCCGTGCTTAGGCATTAAACCCTACACTACTTGTCACAAATGGTTATCCAACATCCTTTTAAAAACTTCCAGTGTTGGAGGCAAGTTGTTCCACTGATTAATTGTTCTAACTGTCAGGAAATTTCTCCTTAGTTCTAAGTTGCTTCTCTCCTTGATTAGTTTCCACCCACTGCTTCTTGTCCTGCCCTCAGGTGCTTTGGAGAATAGCTTGACTCCCTCTTCTTTGTGGCAGCCCCTGAGATATTGGAACACTGCTATCATGTCTCCCCTGTAGTGTAATCAGACTCCGGGCTCATACTCCGGGCCCATGTGGTGGACATGCCCAAAAGCAAAAACATATCGGACAAAAATACATACTTGGATAGAAAAAATGATAAAGGAACACATAGATTTAAAACCAGAAATATTTCTGTTGGGTATCATACCAGAAAAATATTTAAAAAGAACTATGTATTTAATACTACATGCATTAACAGCGGGCAGAATTTTATTTGCACAACATTGGAAAATACTAGAATGTGCAGAAATGGTAGATTAACACTTGAAATTAAAGAGAAGAAAGATACAGATTATTTTGAAACATGGGATTCATTAAATAACAGAAACAGAAGTTAGAATATTTAAAAGTATAAGCAAAGGATTAATTTTATCATGAGGGTTTATTATGATATGTTTATTATCAATATGATTTAGTATTAACAATTAACTATTAATATTATGTTGAGAAAATACCGTTATGATATGATCACTACTAAGGAACATTATGATGATGATGACTGTTGCTCAAACTGTAACCGACAACACACTGCTTATATGGACATTGAACTTGTTGCTCTTTCTTTATATAGTAATTTTTTTTTGGAAAAAAACAGATTTAAATTACAAGGAAATAGATTTTAGGAAAAAATTTCCTAAAGGTATTTGAAGAAAGGCTGGATGGCCATTTCATAGGAATGATCTAATAATGGATTCCTGCACTGGACGGACAGGTGGACTTTATAATTTCCAAGATTGGTTGGTTCCTACTTTTACATTCTATGATATTCTAGTTTCCAGCTTACTACCATAAGCCTATTATCACATCACAAATGCTAAACACATAATGTCTCCTCATCTAATATTTGAGTGGAGTTGATCTTCATTCAAAGGCATCCAGAGGGGAGAAAGAGACAAATACTAACATATTCATCATGATACACTTGTGTCAGATATTATGATGCAAACAAACATATTACCTCATTTAGCTTGTTCGGAACACCACTATTTTTATTCTCACTTGGGGATGAAATTAAAATACTTGGGAGCCTCATTTTCAATGACATCATCTAAGAAACTACTTACTTCTGCCATCATCTAAGAAACTTAAGAATCTATTTTTAATTGATTTGTTAAAACATATATCAATTAAAATTTGTCTTACAGAAATATCTTTTGTTGTGGCTTGGTAGCAAATCTGGCATAGAAAAGGATCATAACTTGGTTCTTTTGGGTTTCTTCTCAGGTCAACTCTTAGCATTTCCTTCATCCCTTCTACTTTCAGTATTTCAGGAGGACCAGGTTTCACTAGAATTGAGAAATGAGTGGTAAACTTTCAGAGTTTAACATACAATTTAACTATAGTCAGCAACAGAAAACATCCTAATTTAGGGTAAAACAACTAGACAGGAAACCCAGGTCTGTAGCAATAATTCCTAAGAACTATACAAAGTGACCAAATTCACCTTGCACAAAGATGTATCAACTAAGGACTGCAATATTTTTATCTGTGTTCTGCCTAGTATTCCAGATATCCATAGAGAAATGCCATTCAAATCTATAGTTAAATCCCACTCAGGGTTTTAGAAATCAAGTGGTCACAGATATCCAGGAATGAATTATCATACTTCATCTCAACACAACTAGAGCAGTGGTCGCCAACCGGTGGGCCGTGGCCCACTGGTGGGCTGTGAGAAAATTTGATGGGCCACAGAGAAATCTCACCCCCAGAGCACCCCCGAAAGCAATTAATCCAGTCTGCGCAGAAACACAAGGCTGCGCCGCCCACACGGCCTGCGGGAACCCTCCCCGCCCACTCACTCCTTACCCAATAAACTTGCCTGCTAAATTTCTATTTTTCCTTTTTCTGACCATCATCTGTTCTGCTGTGCCGGGAGATTTAGATTAGCTAGGAAGCAGGAAATGGTTGGATTTCTTGCTTTCTAGCTAGTTTTTAGATCTTCGGCTCTGCTTGAACCTTAGGATTGAAGGTTTGCTTGCAAGCAAATTTGAGAGACTGAGCTAGCTGATGGCAGATAGGGAGATCACTGAATGATTCTGTGAGCAACTCAATCTGTCTGCTTTGCCTGATTTTGGGTCAAAGTTGCTCTTTCTTTTAAATAAAAAATTCCGTATTTACATGCATGGAGTGTTGTGAGTTAATTTTGTGAGTTTGCTTGCAAACAAATTTTATCTGACAGACTGAGCTAGCCAATGGCAGATAGATAGATTTCTGAATGAATCTGTGATTCTGTGAGCAACTCAATCTGCCTGTCTGCTTTGCCTGATTTTTGGGTAAAAGTTGCTCTTTTTTTATAAAAAAATTCAATATTTATATAAATATTTATAATATTTACATACAAGCCTGGCCCAGTCAGTCACATGACCACCAAGCCACATCCACAAATTAGGCCTCACCCACAGAACCAGTTAGTGGTCCCTGGGATCTAAAATTATGAGTTTGGTGGTCCCTGAGGTCCAAAAGGTTAGCGACCCCTGAACTAGAGAATGCAATCAAGTAAAAATTGGCAAGACTGTAAATGGAGTGTTGAAATATAAACCCTGTCCCATTTGAATGGGCAAATGGTGCTCGTACCAAAAAGATAGATCTTGCATCATAGACTGCTTTTGCAGGAACTGTTGCATCAACTCCTTCATTTCACAATTGCAACAATAACAAACTATCAAATCTTTCCATGGGGACAAACAATACATTTAATGTATTTTGAACATCACATCTGTACTCAATAAATTATAAACTTAATTGAAGCATAATAATTTCAAATATAAAATAATAATCTTTCCAATCCATCCATCTTTTCAAATTGGATTGGGGAGGCACACTTTCCCTTAAATCTTACTATCCAGGTGAACCTTGGAGGCATGTATTTTCCGTAGACATGCTACCTTATGGAACCACTGCCCCCATGATTTTGGCATTTTGGCTTTTGACATCAAGTCCTAACACTTTATCCATATGCTGAGATAGAATGAGAATATCTGGAACTGGTTGTGAGGCATCCCAAGGGGATGTTTGAGATGCTGCGTTTCATTCTTATGGTTTCTGATTTTATAATTATTGGTTTTATTGTTGAGAACTACCAAAATTCCGTTTAAGAAGAGGGGTCACACAAATATTTTAAATGAAGAAATACATGATAAATAAAGGAGAATATTTGTAGTCAGAGTTGAAATGAGGGATCATTGGTGCTCTCTGACCTTGACTGTTTTCTTGCAGATGTTTCATTACCCAAACTAGGCAACATCATCAGTGCTAGTAAGGAGTGGGATTTGCTCTCAATTTATATTCTAGTGGCTTGCCTTGTCAGCATTGGTGGGAGTGGTCTTGGAGGTTCTTTTGGGGTTATTAGCTTGTTTGGCAGTACTGTTTGGTGAATTGTTTATTTGTTGATTGTTGGTCTGATGTTAAACTTGGAGTTAACCTATGCTCATCTGGATGTTGTTTGCTGATGGGCAAGTATTTTGCTCTTTTTGTTCCCTTTTTGGCTTGTTGACTTTCAACTGGAAAATGTGACCATTCTAGACCAAGCCAAGTCCAAAAAAGCTAGAGAATTTCTAGAAGCCTGGCATTCTGACAAATTAACCATCAATAGACATATAGACATAAACAAAATACATACTGTGCAAAAGAGACAATCAGCAAGCCAAAAAGGGAGCAAAACCCAAAATACTTCTCCACCAGCAATCAACACGCAGATGAGCACAGATTAACTCCAAGATTAATATCAGACCATCAAAAATACCCCAATCAAGGAACTGCCAAACAAGCTAACAGTAAACAGCTCAACCAAAGTACATCCAAGACCACCCCTATCAATACTGATGGAATAAGCCACTGGAATATAAACTGAGAGCAAGCCCTCTCAATACTAGCACTGATGATGTTACCTAGTTTGAGTAATGAAATGTCTACAAGAAAACAAGCTCAGAAAGCATTGAGGATCCCTCACAAATAAATATTTTATTAAGTCAAGAGTTGACTTACATATATCTTTCATATGTTGGGAAGTCAAGTTGAATGTTTCTCCAACGAGTTGTACTTTGACTTGTTTAACAACACTCATAAATGGAATGTATTTTGCTATACATGAACCATTTTCCATTGTACCGTTATTTGTTTTACTTTCCTCATTGCTGAAATAAGTAAAGAAAAGTAGATTGTTATATTTTAAAAAATCTGAATTAAAAAAGTCAAAAGTCAAGAATTTTATCATGAACCAATCATAGAGATTTGTTTTAGACCTGACATAATTTAGGAAAAAAATAAGCACAAAAAATAATGTCCCCAAAACTGCTAAGGTCGAAGTAGAAGTAATAACTAAAGATTGTGTCATCTTGTTCAAAACAGAATTGCAATTGGTAATTAAAACAAGTTCTAAATAAAGCCAAATATTACGTGACCAACACTGTAGCAGGCAGAAAGTAAAGCAAGACCAGCATGGAAGGAAGGTTAGCAAGGATGCTAACCAGGGGTGGGATTCAAATGTTTTAACCGGTTCTGTGGGTGTGGCTTAGGTGGTGGGTGTGCTTTGGTGGTCATGTGACTGGGTGGACATGGCTTGGTGGTCATGTTAATGGCTGGGCTTGGCCAACTCAATATCACTCACATCGAGGCACACATCTCCTCGCCTGGCCTCTCATGACTGTGGGAATGCTGCAACAGTCATAAGTGTGAAAAATGGTCATGTCACTTTTTTCAGTGCCATTGAAACTTTGAATGGTCACTCCACACAAGCAAAGTACCAGCAGAGTACTTTGTACAGAGTACTAAAAAACTCCAGAATCATTCCTGAGACAGGAAGTCTAGTCTTGCCAAGCATGTAATAAGGGTTAATGGAAAGGCAGTTTCTGTAAGCAACACCAGAATGTTTCCTTCCTGCCTTCCTTACAGGATTAGGCCAGTAATTTCTTCTAACAACCGGTTCTCCGAACTGCTTAGAATGTTAACAACTGGTTCTAGCGAATAGGTGCGAACTGGTAGAATCCCACCCCTGATGCTAACTGAGCTAACAGGAATTAAAGACTTCTAGATTCATCCTTTAGTTATCAGGTATGTTTAACTCATGAGAAGTGTCTTTCTGAATGCAGCATTACATACAAGTTCTATTTCTTAAGTAAGCATTTTGCCTGGTTACCCCGGGAATTTCTTTCCTCTGATATTTTCTTTCCTAAGAGGTAAGTAAGATTCCACCAATAGTTCCATGTGAAGACTGGAAGGTCCTTGTCACCTGACCTTTTTTTTCTAACAGAAGCAAACCTCTATTATATATACAGTAATAGGCTGTGCAAAACTTGAAGCAACGTCTGGCTGCCGTGTTAGGCTGGATAAGAAGCAATAAAAGAAAGATGGTCATCCCAAGGGACCAAACATCTGCTAAAACTCGTAAAGTCCTCCTAGAAGAAGTCTACATTCAGCCCAGCCCAAAGTCTGGGAAAAGAATCAGGTCTCCAAAGCAAAATTAACGGACAACAGGCTTTCAGATCTTGACATCTCTGGGAAGATGTTTTCCATAAAGGAGCCTCTCTGACAGAAGATGCGCCTCAGATGACATTGTTTAATGGATGGGACCTGGAGCATGCCAATTCTGTTTGACCTCACAGGACAGGCAGCAGCAACAGAGAAAAGGCAAACTCTCAAATGAATAATCTCTACACTGTATAGATGATGGTCATCAGTTGATTCCACCCCATAATCACCATTCCAATTGCCACTTACTTTTCTATGGTAACAAACCAGCAGTTTGTACCACTGGGTAGTTCTCTTCCAGACGTCCAGCTACAATTAAGAATGTCGTTGTAATAATAAATGCAAGAAATGATTTCAGGTTTCTGTGGCGAGGCTGTAATTAAGTGGAACAAAAGAAAAACTGTCATCAGGCATTATTTAATTGCTTTATGGTCTTCTAAATATTAAACGCACAAGTATTTATCTGAGTAATTTTCTTCATTTTATCTTCAAACAATAACCTGTGAGGTATGTTGAGCTAGAACAGGGGTGTCAAAAGTGCGCCGTCACGGCAGCATCACATGACGTATCGTGACTTTTTCCCCCTTCTCTAAACCGGAGGTGGGTGTGGCCAGCACGTGATGCATCCAGCCTGTGGGCTGCAGGTTTGACAGCCCTGAGCTAGAGAAAAAGAGTGACCCAAAGCTATTCGGTCAATTTCCATGACTGAGGGGAGACTCTTCAGTTCATTACTTTACACTGGCTCCTTTCATTTCTAAAGGGAGATCTGTTTTAAATAACTACGGCTAGCTTTTAAATTATACTGTAACTCTTACTATAATCCCACTGTTTTCATTAGTAAATAATATTGTTCCACGTCTATCAGCTTTGAATTATCTTTGGATATCAAGATTTATCTGTATTCTGTTAAAGAGGATAAATGACATACAGTACAAAGGGTTCATGCACATAAACATTTTTCACTGTGCCAATGAAAATCTTCCTTCTGCCCCAATTAGCTCCAAGAAATAAATTCCAAATATCAAAAATATTATTAGCCTTTACCAGGGATTCAATTAAATAAAATTGCAAAATTTAAACTGTTTAAGGCAATCCTTGTTTAGCAACCTCAATTGGGATCTGCAACTCAGTTGCTGAGTGAAGTGGTCCTTAAATGGAAAATCACATGACACCCAAATAGGCTTTCTCCCTTCGCTCTCTTTTGAAAAGTTCACCAGGGTACTGGGATAATTAGACAGAAGGGAATTAATACATACATTTACATTCATTTCAAAGGAAGGGGTTACCAAAAAAAAAATAAGCAGGCACACAATGAGAAATGCACATCCAAAGGTATGCACTCCAGCTGGCTGTTGGTCTACTGCAGAGGTCTCCAAACTTGTCAACTTTAAGACTTGTGGACTTCAATTCCCAGAATTCTCCAGCCAGCTGGGAGTTGAAGCCCACAAGACTTAAAGTTGACAAGTTTGGGGACCCCTGGTCTACTGCATGGCCCCA